AAAGATGGATGCCTTACACTTTCTGGACCGCATATGTAGAATTGCAGTCCAGCCTGCATGAAACAATTTTCCACATCTTTAAGAACACTTCTGACCAAACAAAAAAAAATTCGGCTTACTAAAATATAATCAAGTCTCAAACATTCTTAATTAATCCTAAAAGTCAATTAAATTTTCAGCTGACTTTCAACCAAGATTTTAGTAGTCATAGATCTTAGAGAGACCTTCAATTCGAAATTTGAATAACCTCAAACAGTCACTCAAGTGAAAAGTTATGCCTTTCAAAAGCAGTATATATCGCTCCCTTCATGTTGGCCTAACTTGGGAAACTGATTACAGGTCAACCGGCTCTTTAATGGGCTATGTCCCGGCTGCTACTAGGTCTCTAAATGGGCCTGCCTTGTGTCTTTATTTTGCATGAGAACATCTCGCATTTGTAGTCAAGGTCAACAACTGGTATGGTTTTTCCATTGAATTGGTACATTGCCACTTGGATCCACCAAGAAATAACAATTAATACTCAAGTCACCTTTGACAAATAGTCGAGTACTATGCCATAGTTTTCATTCCTAAACAAGTCAAGCTTGTGTTTGGTTAGTTACTTTCAAGTGCTTACGATTTACCTCCTAATCAGTGGTTTTCGGGCGAGTTTGAGTAACTCGCCTTAGTTCAGTCCTATTTTTAAAAAAACAAAAAATGGTAGAATACATATATAATATAATCCTCGTGCATTTAACATTAATTGCTGAATGGCATAGTGGATAGACTAGTCACCTTTGGGCGCCACTTTCATGAGGGATCTTGGGTTCAATTCCCATGAACCCATTACACGTCAAAAATAAAAATAAAAATGAAGGCAACATTAAATTGGGGGGATTCAAACCCATTTTGTGACATGCGATGTGCATGAGCACTGTCCAAAAAGCCTTTGTGCAACTGCCAACTTAAAATGGACATATTAATTTATACAAACTATAAAAATCATGCACATCCAAAAAGCCTTTGTGCAACTGCCAACTTAAAATGGACATAATAATTTATACAAACTATAAAAATTTGGTGTACACTGTAATCGGTGGAAACTCGCCTTGCCCTTAAGGCGAGGCTGAGATACTCGGCCGATTCCGAGTGGCCTTGGCCGAGTCTCAGAACAGTGCCCTTAATCATAGCAATAAAACTCAATACTAACCAATGTTCTAAACAACGGCCAGGCTAGCGCATAGGAGGGCTATGTGGGCTTGCCTAGGCAGGTGACATGGGCGCCCCAGGGACTATGCCCACCTAGGGGCGAAACGAGGGGCATTTTTAGTAAGTTCCTCCCTTGAAAAGGGAAATGATTCTGATGATGAGGGGCTCGACTCTGATGCATATGATGCAGCTGGCCTTATTTTTCTGATGATAATTGAAGACCCTTTGAGTCTTCAAGTCTATATTTCTTTCCATTTTTTTTCCTCCTCTTATGTGTATGAAGTATGGAATATGGACTAGGATAGTAATCATGGTAATAATATGGACTAGGATAGTAATCATGGTAATAATATGGACTAGGATAGTAATCATGGTAATAACATAGTAATCATTATGTGTATGGGTTAATAAGAAGTGTGCTTTATGGTGTTTGGGTTGGGCTTTGGACTATGGGGTATGGATTAATTGGATTATAATTTATAATTTGTGAATTGTGACTTGTGAGTTTGTGGCTATATGATTACTAGCGAAATGCACATGCTCCGTATATGTTTTTAGAAGCACGAGGCATATAAATAAGTGTAATAACTAAAAAACTCTAAAAGCATGTAAAAATTATAATATTATGCTTCCCAAAATGAGATATCAAAATGCTGGTATTACAACATAAACTACAAAAAGAATATGTAAAAATTTAAATGTCATGCCTCCCAAAAATCAGGATGCCTCCCAAAAATCAGGACTATGTTAATTTCTAATTTTCAAATATTAAAAATCAGAAAATAAGAACTGTGTTAATTTTATTCAAAAATCTAAAAGTAAGAACTATGCTATTATTATGAATAAATTGTCTCTTAATTTTACATTTTCAATATCCAAAAATTAATAAAAACCTTGATGAATTAAAAATTAAAATTTCGAAAAGAAGGATTAATTTATTTTCTAAAAAATAACATATTTCCTAAATTCAAATTCATAAAACATAATAAAAATATAATATTCCTAGTACTAATTATAGGGCCATTAACAATTAATATTATTATCATTATTAGGATGATGATTACTTATTTACTTATAGTATTCTCATAATTGGTAACCAAAAATCATTGATAACAAATGATTTTTCATTGATGATCATTAGTAAACCGGTATTATCGGCATTGAGTATATGAATTTTAAAAAGCCTCTATAACAAATCAAGTAATTCATTCTTTACTTTATACATCCATATAATTACAAAAGATTTAAAGTATAACTATGAATCGAATAGACATATAAAATATGTGATTGCAATTAAAATCATTGCACAATCAAAGGGTTTAACATCGTTGGGTGTAGATATTAAAAAACAAAAAGAAGAAAAAAAAAGTGAAGCCCTCAAATTCAGAGAAAAATTTGAAAATCCTAATTACAAAAAAAAAAAAGCATATGCAAAAACCCTACGAAACACTTGAAAAATAAAGAACTGACTATCAAAATGTTTCAGAAAAAAATTTGAAAATTCAAGTTTAGAGTGAAATCCATGAAACTTCGGTTGTGTATGTAAATGGCTTACTTTACAATGAGAAAAGACGTACAAACCTTGAAAGAGTACCCATTGAATCAGACTAATCTTTTTTTTAAGAAAAAGGCATTATAAACTTTGTTAATTAGCATGTGGATGAATTGTTTCAAAGGAATTCTTTAATTTAAGAAAAGAAACAAATACATAGAATTTCACCAACCTCACAGAATGTAAAAATAGGATCCTGTTGAGACAGAGTAAAGAAATCTTTGGTTATTGTTCTTCTTTAACTTATAAATACAACAATAATTGGAATAAAATAAATTAAAATACACAAAAGAAAAGAGGAAAAAAAAAGTACCTACAAATTCAAAAATAAATTAAATAAAATTATTTATGAGCAAGAAAATATGATTTATAATCCTTTAGTTGTGGTCAACCCTCATTTCTTGTTGTTCATGATTTAGCATCATGTAACAATTCAAAAATCCAAAATTTATCTGAAAATTAAATATCTAGATTTTAAAAATTCAAAAAATTGCAAAAACTATTAGCCTCCCAACGATTTTTATTTAATAAAAAAAATGTCTCAACAATTTCAGATTTTTGAAAATCTGAAGTTAATTTTAAAATTACATTTATGGGTTTTTTTTTAAAAATTCCAACAGTTATATTTATCCAAAAAGGCCTCCCAACAATTTTGGATCTTGAAACTACAAAATTTATTTGAAAATTGAAATTTCAGATTTAAAAAAATCCAAAAATTCTATTTAGTGTCCCAACAATTTCAAAATCAATTGTGGATTTTCAAAATCCAAAAATTGCATTTTAGCATCTCTGAAAATTTTCAGATTTCAAAAATCCAAAGTTTACTTTTTAATTAAATTTTGAATTTTCAGCATCCAAAAATGTCATTTTCCTGCTAGATCACGATTTTTGTTGAATTGGGATATTGAAAATCCAAAAATTTTATGACGGAAAACACTAAAAATTAGAGGCCTCAACTACCCTTGAAGATCTGAAAATCCGTAAATAAAATTGGGATCTTGAAGATCCGGGCAATTTTGGAACCACCAAAAAACTTTAGTATAAATGTAATAACGATAAATTGTGGATAAATTTTACATCATGTTGAATAAATCAAAATATTGAGATATTTTTTTCTTATTTTTACAATTAATTTAGGCCATTAACATGGTTGGGAAAGAGAAATCAGAATTCTTACACGCTAGTATGAGAGAGAGAGATCTTACACGGTAGTGTCCTTTTGCTTGAGGGCAAGAGAGGTTTATCCATTTGAGTTATATACATATAATGCTCTGTAGATGGAGTGCACCCCTTCCAAGCGGTGAAATAGTAATTGTCATTGCACGCTTATTGGATGCACAAAAGAAAATGATTACTCCATTCCATCCGACATGGACCACGTTATGAGATGCCACATACAACATAAATCAAGTCATGCTTTTATAGTAAAGAATATATTTTCCTTGTGACTGTGTTAGTACTTGGTACTGGCAGTCTAGTCTAGTAGTAGTCTACTATTGAATTTGAATCTTGGATTATATTTTCCTAATTTTCTTAATGTGCTATCAACTAATTATCGAAATCTCAAATATTTTGGTTTGTCTTTGGAGTGTGGATTGATTCAACATAAAAAATGCGTTAAAAATGCCTCAATATGCTTTTTTTACACGCAATTTGGACCTAAAACGGTTCTTTCAGATACCTCGCACTCTTGTTCTTCCACTTGGGCTGCTCAGAAATCTGGGCTTTAGCCCTGGCAGCCTCTTAAGCGCTGTGCATCAGGACCCCCCGGCTGCCTAGGTGCCGCCCAGCATTTTTTGGAACATTGATACTAACAAAGTCATTGTTGATTGAGATCTTTCCAATGTAAACGATTTGTAGTTTTTTTATGAGCAGCATTAAGTCGCTTTTAGTTATGTATACGTTATTATTTGTATGAAAATCTTTTCTTACAACAGTGTTTGCTTTGCAAGAGGTAGACTGTCTTTTGATGATGAAACTTGATTTCATGAATGGTGCCCACAACAAAATGAAGTATTTACCAAGTGGATTCTGTTCTCATGGTAAATAATGTTCCATCCATTTGGCATATTCAACAGATTTTTAGATAATATAATGAAGTCTCATCTCCTTGCTATGCATTATTTGACCAATTTGTATCTATAGGCTCAATTGTGTTCAAAGAGTTTTCTATGGATGAGTCTCTTTGAGTTTGGGAAATTCAATCTAGAGCTAAGGCTGACTTTTTAAGAGGCACTGACATGGCATTTATCTCATGTAGCCTAGGTGAGGCACACGTTGGCTATGACCGTTTGGACTTCCCGGAGATAAAGATCAGTGTTGTTGGTGGACGCCCATTTTCTTCTGGAGGTGGCCAACTTTTTCGCCGCAAACTTCTTTCTTCAAGGTTGGTAAAAAAAATATGTGCATTCAGTGATAAAGTAATTCTTCTTGACATTCTATATCATTATGTTTAGGCCCCGTTCGGATGCACTAGTATTCATATCATAGAAGTAGCCATGCTTGCCTTCATGAGCAAAAATTTTGCGTCTCTTTTTGGGATTTAGAGGGAAAACATTTTTTTCAGTCTTATGGGTGTTTCGGTGGTGTTTTGTTGATAAGTGGGGTTGTAAAAAGTAGGCTCGACATGAATGGCCAAGCCAAGGCCTTAGAAAAAGGCGTTATTCCTAAAATTTTGTGCATCTAAAGGGATCCTTATTGTTGGCATATATTGAAGAAACCAATCTTATGACACATTTTGTGTTATTTTGCATCTATGAATTACTCATGTTTAATGAAAAGGAGCTGATATCAACTATATCATTTGAATAATCTTCTTAAAATTTCATGCAATTTATTGGAATAGTTTACATTTACAAATCTTGAATTAGAAAGTTGTGGTTTTCTTGAACTATTGTTTTCTGGACTTGTAGTAGCATGCTTCATGTCAAATTATCCTTTCACACAGTTTGAATTGTCGACTATCTCTCTTTCAAGATTACAAAAAATGATGTGCTTTCATGGATAAAGTTATGGGAATGCTTGATGCATACCTTGAAGCTAGATTGGGATATTATGCCTTTTTAAGTGGCAATGCATTGTTATGTACCTAGCTGTGGGAGACAGTTTCTGTTAAAAGTGTACCTTTTGGTTTATGTTGAGTTCTATTTGTTAAGTTGGGATATCTTAAATTTTAGAGATGCAGCAAGACCCCATTATAGTGAATTAAGCCAAGAGAAAATACTTAATTTTTTTTCTCTTTTCACTACAATACACTTCAAAAGTACATGGATCTTACATCAAAATATGGCAATAAATAATTTCCAGCCACCAAACTTGGCTTTTCATTCACTTAAAAAGGAAGGATACAACTCTATTGGGCCCCTTGACAAACTCCAAACACATGATACACCATGGTGATTGAATAAATATAGACAATATTCAATTACTACAAAATGCGCCACCATACCAATTGTATTGCCAAATTATACATCACTTTGGAATTACATCAAACACATCAAATACAATGTCCTTCGTCAACACAAGAGAGGCTCCATAATTTTAGATCCAAATGTGGGAAAAATCATGGGAGGAAAAGGGGCTCAAATCACTCTCAATTTGGTGAGTAAACAAGTAGTATGGGCATGGGAAAATTTTGGCATATTTTTTCCTTAAAATTTCACCAAATTAAACCATCAAAAAGATGGATCAATTTACTGACTTGGATCCAAAGAGCTGCAGAGAAATCAATCAATTAAATGTCAAAACAGCTCCATCAAATTTCTCTTCAAAATCGAATCAATCGACAAGAAATCAAAGGGTCATGCTCAAGGATAAAGAAGAACTCAGTTTTTCATGAAACAAGGAGTAGGAGGCTATGATACTTCAATCTTGGTAATAAAGGGGCTATATATAGGTTTAGTGTAGGATGATTCTAGGTGAGTCAATCTTGACCTTTGAAATAAGTCATCCATGGCATGAGAGACAGCTTGATCATAGTCACTCATCACTCATCATGCCATCTTGATGAGTGGATGACATTTAACGCCATTCCTCCTAATAAACCCTTATTCACTCCAAAGTTTCCATCATTAATCTCAAATTCAAATTCATATCAAATTCAACTTGCTTCTACAAATGCCCATGCTAAATCTACTTAATAAAATGAAGAATCATAGGCAGGAGGGTCCCCTTTACGTAATTTTACACATATTCTAGAAGCAATTTGAATTTGAAAGTACCCACTGATTCTGAATCACTTTAGTGTGCATGTGCACCCAATCAATGATACTACATAGGATAGGTGGTTATATGCATAGTTCCACCTGGGCTTAGGGTCATAATATCTAACCCTATATCCTTTCTATAAGATCTCCCCATGTGCACACAACCACCAATGCAACACATTAAACATGTGCTCAAAATGCAATTTCTGATTTCACAAAAAAATTTACTTTATAAATCTCATAAACTACAAATTTACAAAGGACAGAAACAGTCCCCATGCGGTTTTGACGTCATCCCCATGTGGCATTGATGTGGAGCCATGGTAGCCCCCCACGTGGCACCCAATGGCCATTTTGTGTCATGTGGGAACCTGGGGTGTCCTTGATGGTCATTTCTCCAAAATAATTTCAAAATTCCATTGTATTTGATCCAGAAAATCCAAAAAAATTCTCAAATTTCGTCCAAAGCATGTTTTGTCATATTTACTTAATTTAACATTATATATAGCCATTAATGAGGGAAATTAGGATCATATGGAGATGAATTGGGTATTAGAGCACTCTACTTGTCTAGACTCGGAATCCAAACCACTTTCTCATAATAATCCTACAAATCTATGACCCATAGGGTCAGGCAGGAGCTCATGCTTGGCTTGTCGAAGGTCATCCAATATGTGGCTCGGGATTCTCAGGTTGTAGTGGATTACAGGTGCAGTCCCGAAAGCATCCACTCTAATGGCTACGGGGGTCTTCTCTTAGCAGATGTGCTTAGCCTTCCTAGTGGATCGCCGATGGTAGAGTGACTTCTTGTTTGCAATATATGCCCATGCCTTGAGAAGGTCACAAGGTCAAGGAATTAGGCTGATGTCCTCTCGAAGCCTTAACCTTCTCATATAGGCTAAAGTCACACAAATGACTCGATCTCATATCACCACCATTCAATCACAACCAATCTCATACATAATATGCTGGCCATCATACAGTCATGAGGCATAAATCAAAATTGACCCTAACGAAGGTAACACTCAATCCTCTCAGTGCCTCTTACACACACACCGGCCTCATGACATTCGGAGTTCATGACTCTTGATCCTAGTGCGCCAAGATCGTTGAGTCACGTTGCTCTTGGTCACTCCAACTGCAGCTAAGAGTTATAAAGATGATCGGGTCAAGGCCTTGAAAGGCCATAACTAGAACAATTTTGCTATTGTGCTTTGGAGAAAGTGCCTATACTGCATAGGCTTGCTTAGACACAGATTCAGAATTCAGATATGACAAGGATAAATAAATCTATGAATTACTGCGTGATTGGGAGAATGTTTGATTCCCACTATGTGAGCCTTTGGTGGTTGAGCATGAATAATTTGCAGGAAGAACTACCTTTGCACTCATAACAATTACCAATATCTTCTTAAACTAGGGATACCATATTTAAAATGAAAAGAGTAGTGAAATGTAGAATTATCATGGCATAGACACCATTATGCGACAACATCTTGCTATCTTCCTACTTCAAGGTGTGTGTGTGTGAAGCTAGTTGTTAATTGGGATTGAGTGGTTTTACTCACCCCTACGGACAGAAGGTGAATTAGGAGATAAAGAAGGGCATAGAAGTTTAGAAGCTTACTTTTTGCGTGCCTAGAAAGAATGCATTTTATTCAACTTGCTCGAGAATATGTGGAGATTGTCACACTTCAACCAACATGTTGTGACATAAATGCTCTTGACTTAAGTTCTAGGACAATGAATCTTCTTGGAAGCTGAGTAGCTCTGAAGGTGTTTACAAACTCAACACATTTGGAAATTGAGAACAACATTCACTTCACAGATCTACTCTTTTATTGACATGGGAAGACTATGTTTAGAGTTGTTTTGAGAGATAATTATTACAGGCCCTTGGCATAGGGTGCAATAAATGAGCATAATGGGGCAACAATATTGGTGCCCAATAATGCTATTGGAGTATCAGTGAATAGATAGAGGGATGTCAGTGGAGGGATATTGAGACAATCATTATGGAGCATCATCATTGTTTTGTTAGGAAAGAGGACTAAGTCCTAAAGCTAGTCCAATCCTTTCTCACCACCACTCTTTCTCTCATATCAAAACTTCACCAAATCCTAATTCACTCTCTTTTTCACGTCCCTCTCTCTTATGACTTCTTTCTCTTTCCCACACGATGCCCTCTTGGGGAAGAATGGATGTGCATGCATAAAGGGGTGGTTTACCCTATATTCTCTCCCATGCAATGCCCTCGCTTTTTCTCTCCCACGTGATGCCTTCTCTCCCACTGTTCTCCGTTGTTGTAGTGTCCACCGAGGACCTTCAATGAGTATGTCTCTGTAACTAATTGTATACTCGCCCTCCCTTTGTCTATGAAGGGGTAGAATTGAAAGTAAATGGTGTGCTCAATGTCAAAGTCCATTCAGTTTGTAGAGACCTTGAGAGCAGTTGACTCTCCAAGGTAGTCGGATGTCTTTGAACTAGAATGTGGGGCGTGCATATGCCATAGCATGTTGGTTGAGGTGTGGCCATCGCCATGTATTCTTCGAGTAAGTTTAATAAAATGCAATGTTTCAAAAACCTTGAGCTTTGAGCTTCTAAGCTTCTTTCTCTTCGTTATTTCTTGATTTTCCTTGTTTCCCTGGGGGTAAGTAAAGCTTGTAAATCCCAATTAACAGAGGCATAGATAGTTATATTGGGAAGGGAAAAAAAAAATTCTGATCAGCATATCCTAAAATCTAGGGTTTTACCTCCCATTTCAGGGTTTAGGGTTTAGGGAGCCCCCCTCATTTCACCATTTCTTCTTAGGGTCCTTGTCAATCAAAAAATTGAATGTTCTCGTGAATCAGCAAATTTGTTGGCTCCCTGTTCCACACTTTATTTTATCGATGGAACAGCAATTCTTTTGCGCATACCAAGTGTTGAAAAAAGTAAATCCTTTCAATAAGCCGTAAATCTTGCTAAAGTCCATATGCTAAGCTCGGTAAATGATGATAAACTGCCTCTTTTAGGCTCAAAGAAACACTTGGACAGTAGTTAGGAATCACTGGTTAAAACGACTTCATCATTTTTCAAATTCTTGTCTTCTTTCTCACCCTTTCTATTTTATAGGCTGCATGATTGCATCACAAGTGTGGTACTTATTTATTTGTTCTTTCTGGAAAATGCTTTCAAATCACACTTCGCTGACATGAGAGCTTAACTTGTTTTCATGTTCTTGTAATTAGAGTCATTTAGTACTTCATACTGCCATCTTACTTGAATTAAGTTCTATTTTATCAGGTATGGAGTGCATGATATGAAAGGAAGTGCAAAGAAAATTTGTGATGCTGCTCAAGGAACTCCAGATGGTCATTCCATCATTCTTCTTGCTCATAATGGACCTACAGGTTTATTAGGCCATCATGGCTTTGCCCTTTTTCATGCCATATTTTTTCTGCATAGAAACTTTACGCACAATCTTCTCTTATCATATAAATGAATAAATACTAACATCACGTGTATGATCCATGATGCATGCATGTGTGCTTGAACACACATACCTGTATGTGCGATATGATGTGCCCATGTTCTTTTTGAATAAATTTTGATTTCTTGTGTCTTTGAAACATTTTGCTTAGGCCTGGGATCTGAGATGGATGATATTTGTGGGAGAGATTGGGTACCTGGAGGCGGAGACCATGGAGATCCAGGTTCATGCTTCTCCTAAAATTTCAACTAGAATCAGTCAGGATAATTAGTTCTAACAACAATGGCCCCTCCAACCTCTCTTGGCTAAGTAAATTGGACTCATCTTTGGAGAACTTTTTGTTTCTTCTGCAGACCTCGCTCAGGCTATCGCAGACTTGAAAAGCAATACTCGGCTTTCCATTCCTTTGGTTGTCTTTGGGCACATGCATAAAAATTTACAGCTTAGAAATGGCACACGAAGGATGTTGGTTTTAGGTGCTGAGAAGACAATTTACTTGAATGCAGCTGTTGTCCCTAGGGTCAGAGGTCTCATCAGCAAAAAGGGTTCTGGCTCCACTGTCCATAATGATGCGCATGAAGTCAAATCTAAAGGTACCATTCGTCAATTCTCTGTTGTTGACATTCTGAATGGCAATTTGGAGAAAATAGCAGACACATGGATATCAGTTGTTGGGGATTCTGTTGCACTCCAAGCTGAGGATGTCCTGTTCAGAAGACAGCATTAAATGATATGTTGTCAATATTTGTCTTTTAATTAGAGCTGGGAGTGCTGAAGCCTTTCTATATGGGCATGTTGCATGTGTATTTATTATTAATTGCTGAAATTGTTTAGCTGTCTTTGTTGGGTTGTCTATCTGTTGTATCTGTTGTGCAGATCTATTAATGCTAGCATATTAAGCTTTTGTAGTTTGTTATAATGTCGATGTAATTTAATTAATTGAGATTGTAGAACTGGTATGCCTGTTGTTTGGGGTAGAGTACTTCAAGCAGAATTGAAAGGAACATGCATTACTGTAGTTATGAATGGGAGTTAGAAGTTATCACTATTTATTCATTATGGGGTTGAATTATTACGATCAAACCATCTGGAAAAAAATATTAGGGTTAAAAATGGTTACTTTTTAAGTTCCATTTGACTATGGCTGAATTACCCTTGTTTAGGATTGGGATAAGTAGGGGGGCATTTCAGTAATTTGGCTCTTTTTGCGTTTCATTTTAGTGTATGACCAAATTGCCTTTTTTTAGGATTGGGAACTCTGAATAAGTAGGAGCATTTTAGTAATTTGGCTTCACATATGTAGCTCAAGCCATATGAAGATGATAGGCTTAGCCACACAAAACTGCCATATGACACCGTGGTTGCTAAGGGTTAGCAAAGTGGAACTCACTTATTTTGTTGTAAACCCTTGTTCCCTTTTTCTAACCGTGAACAATTAGGGACTTTCACATAATTTGGCTCGAGCAGTTAGTAGGGCTAAATTATTGTCGTGCCCCAGCTTGTTTATTTGGTTATTATTTAACATATTTTTAAGGAGGTAATTGAGTATAATGAGATTGAAAAAGTAACCATTCTAATGTTAAATGGGGATGATTTGACCACCTTAAAAATTTTGTGAGGTGGTTTGACCATTTAGTTGTTATTTCCCTAAAATAAAAGACATTAGAATTATTTTTAAAATTCCTTCATAGTCAATATTTCCTTAGCTACTTAGCTTTGTACTTGTATATGGCAAAACCCTGTAGTTATTATTCTTCCCATTTTTACTTTAATTTCAGTTTGGGAAGATGAACGGCATTTCTTTTTTATGCATGATGGCAGTCTATGATTTGTGTACATCATCCAGTGATGAGGAATGATGGTGAATGGCTTTTTGTGGATTGTATTATGTACAGAACTTTGTCATAGTTCTTGATAGAACCCTGAGGATGACATTCTAAAATCTAGATTCATAGCCAGAGACTTCAAAGACCCTATACATACTATAGAAACATGTTTTAGGCATCCTATTGACTTACTGTGCTATATGGACAACTGAAGACGAGCATCGAAAATTTCTCTCTTGTATATTGTAATAGTCATGGAGGTCCTCTTCAATATACGATCATATGTCTCAAACATTTGTACATCCCTCATGAAGGTGAAGAATTTTTAGCAATGGAGGATTGTTTATTAGCTCATGGTCATATCTTCTCGAATTTATGGTGTCTCTGCAAGCCATCCTTTGCATTTATCTTGTATTTCTCTCCATTGTTTTTGTTTCATTCATTTGTTTCATTCATCTCAAGTGATAATTTAAACCATCTCATTTGGGACAAGAGTATCAGTTATAGATAGAGCTACTGTGAATATGGGAATATGTATGGTTATTATCCCATCTTGTATGCAGTATGAGAAACCCAAGGTGGACAGTCCACTGATAGATTCCAACCCTTTCCTTTGTACAAGTGGAGAATGCACTCTATTAATATCTCAAAAATATATCTTATAAATTGATATATTTATCCCATTCCAATAGGAATTGATACCCTTTTGACTAAGTTGTTTGCCTTGAAACATTTGGTGGTGATATAAGTAACTGATGGAGGACAAATAAACAATGTCTCAATATAGAAGTGGCAAAAATAAGGAAAGTGAGAGTGTAACTCAGCAACCTATTTACACGGGTCTGAAGTTCCTTATGGATTTAACCCTCAAGAATGAAGGCTCGGCCTTGTCGGTCCTGCCCTAAAAAAGTAGGCCTGGGCCACAAACTGTGGGTCGAAGGCTAGGCCCCTGCCAGCCCTCCCTTTTTCTTGTTTTTTCCCTTATTTTTTCCTCATGGAGGGGCCTGGGCCAGCCCGCTGCCACCCTTTGCAAACCCATAACTAATCTGAAATAAGAGTTGCCGTCCAGTCCATAATATGAAGAGGACACACCATTAAAGTCATATGAAACTCAATACCTGATCGTTTTATCAATGTGTGAGTAGCCCCGGTACTAGAACATGTTGGTCCATTTAGTTTTGTTGGTTACCCCATGCACCACAGCACTTGGATGTGGTCCTCTTAAACAAAGTGCTTGCGCTCAGCGAATGCATACTGCACCATTCACGTGCCCTTTCCCTAATTTAGCATCCATTTATCTTTTAGAAGAATCTTCTGTTGCAAAGGAAAGCTGAGGTTAGCCTGAAAGAGAAAGGTGGTGTGACCACATACCTAGTCTCTTGACATGGGAAAAAGGCTGGACCACCCAGCCTTGTATCTTAATACTTCAAACATGGCCCCTTATTCCCCCACCAGCACACCCCACCCCCCCTCCCATACCGGGAAATAAAAACCATAAAAAGAAAAAAAGAAAAAGAGAAAAGAGAGTACGATAGCCTGTTTTCATATCATAGCTATCCCAACTTGCGGTCATAGAAATGAATATTTTGCTCCTTATATTAAAGCGCTCTTCAACTAAGAAAAAGATAACAATGAAAGGGAAATCTAGTTATCTCATTGTGTTCGTTGAGTTCGATGGAAAAATCAATACATTATTGGACAAAAAATCACCATTGCTCAAACTTCAGAAAAAACAATTTTCAAGTGATATTAAAAGAGAGTTCAGACTCTTGTAGAATATCAAATTCTTCAAACTAAGGTTTCACTCGTTGGATTATGAATGAAACAAACAATCACGTAAATGAAATTGCAACTGTGCATTTACATTAACGTGATTGCTTATTTCATGAATTGGGTAGCGAATGAGAAAATGACCTCTTCAAACCACCCATTGACTTTCCCAAGTTTTTGAAAGTGATTTGGAAAAACGACTTGCATTAACTTTCCAAGTCACTGTTGCCACAGAGAGAGAGAGGATAGTGAACGAGCCCAGTAGCCTCCAGCGATCCTTTGGTGAGCTGATCCAAGGAGCAACTTCTTGTGACATCCAGCAAGCTGATCCAAAGAGCCCGACCTTTGGTGAGCTTTCAAGGAGGGTTTTTCCCAAGTGAGAAACCATCGGAAACCTCCGGCGAGCTTTCGGCAACTGGCAACTGGCGACCTTCAACCCTGCGAGATCCGGCGAGCTTCTATTGGATCTTCTTTTTCGCTCCTTTTGGTCTCAGATCTGAGTTTTCCGACTTGGATTTGTTCTTTGCACCTCAAATATGAGGTTCTTGCTTCAGATCGGAGCTTTTTTCTCGCCTTTTAGCCTGTTCTTTCTCCATCATGTGCATCTCTTGCCCTCCACCTCACTCTCTTCTTCGTTTGCTCGTTTTTTATTTATTTATTATTATTATTATCTCAACCCTCTCTTCCCTTCTTCGGTTAGAGAGGAAGTTGGGGGATGGCGGACTCTCTTTTCCCCGGCTCCTTTGTTTCTCTGTCCTTTGGTCTCTTCATTTCATCCCTTCTACCTCCCATCCTTTCTTCTAACATCCCCTTTCACATCTTTTCACCTTTTGTTGTAGTCATTTTCTTGGCTTTCAACCGTATTCCCTTTCTTCCAATCTCTTCTCTAGTCAGTAGGTTAATGCTTAAGATGGGAATTTCGTTCTTTTTGAGGATTGTTATCATATTGTGGTCTTCTCAGGTCTCGAGGGCTTCAAAGACCATGTATCTTCTTACTCAGGTTAATGCCAAAGATGGAGCTTGATCCTTAGAGGGCCTTAGTGTGCTTTGTTATGGTATTTCATGTTACTTTATAGTGGTTTGAAATTCCTGAGAGTGTTTTATATACAGTTTATTTGTTTAGAGCTGGCCTCCTATTCCCTCTTTTCCTTTGTTCCCTCCTCTTCTCTTTTACTGGATTGTCTCCCACTTTCCTCTCTCTCTCTCTCTCTCTCTCTCTCTCTTACTTATT